GGGGTCGGCAGTCATGTTTAGCGTGATCGGCAATGTCTGACGTCCATTATCATAACTTGTACCCGGTAATGATAGGCTCGTGGGATTCTAAAATCGGGAATGCTGGTGTGGCAGCATCCTTGAAAATGTTGAAGCCCAAGCTGGTTAAAGGTCAGTTAGTGCGCCTTCGTAAATCCTACACTCCGAAACTTTGAATCACCAAAAATCGCAGTTTTTCCCCGCAGGTCAACGGAAAGATCTACTGTCATTCATTAAAAGTGGTGTCCGTTGGGTGTGTGTATCGTTCTTGCAACACCTATGATCGGAACGTGGGGACAGCCGCCTCTTAAGAAAAACACCTTGGCTCCTTTTTCTCGCGGACGGAGTGGTACCCGCAAAAACAGCAGGTCGTTCCAACTGCGTAGTTTGCTGCGATGACAACCGCTTGCATGGACACACACACACACATAAACGATTTGTTAAAAGATTTTGCGGTTCTGTGTGCCGTCGCTTTGCACATACATCACCCCTCCCATGGAGGAGCAAGCTAGACAAAGATGCCCAATTACATGAAATTTAGCCATATTCATTGCAGCATATGTTTGATGCAAGTCTTTTTGGCTGACAGCACATCCCACAAAAAGGTTTGCACCACAGCATGATAGCCACGATTTCGACCGCTGCCTCCACCCGTTAAAATAGTGACCGGCCAAGGCGGTTGCAGCCAGCTAAAGACAGGCGATCCCAAACGAATCCACTGACCTTCGCTGGCGTATGGCCCATCCGGACTGGTGTCACGGCAAGCAGCAGAAATTCCCCGCAAACACTGGACCACAGACAAAGCGTTGCGTGGGTGCTGATGTGGCCAATGGTAGGAGCCAAGAAAACGGGAGGAAGGCGAAACCTGTGAAAGGAAAGAGGATCCGAGCACAGGACTAAACCGCGGTGCGGCGCAGGTAGAGGCCTGAAACGGCATCGTCAATAGTAAAACCCAAATGTAGGATGACACAGAAGGGCTGAAGGCCAAAAAGCGGATGGATCAGTCGGAGGTACTCTAAGAAGGGAGTCAGTGTCTGACGAGTATGGCGTGCCGCCAAGCAAGTGCAAGATAATGTAGTTCATCGTCCAGCCGGCAGGTTAATAAGAAACAAAACATCGCGAAGCGTATCTAACGGGAAATGTGGACTAGGGAAATACTGAAACCGCCAAGACATCGCGCGTGTAGTCTACCGCAAGTCGACTGCCACACAGGAAACCCAACTGCCGGAGGCCGAGGAGAGGCAAACGCAAGCGAAGGAAATTATGAAGACGTAGGAAGTAAAGGAACAGGGCATGCCATCGCAAGCGAAACACATGAGGGAAACTCCAACCGCAGCCAGCAACATCCACAAAGGGTAACCCAAACCCTAAAACCAAAGCAACCGTAAAACTGCATGTAAACCTCAAATCAATCATAAGCGGAACAGTAAACCGGACCCTACTCCCAACCTTAACACTGACACTAAACCCAACCCTAGCCCTAACCCCAATGGTGACACTAACCATAACCGCAATCCGAACCCCAAACCTTAACTTAACCCTAACCCTGATCGTAATCCCAACCACAGGTGGTTAGAGCATCGGCTATACTCCGACCTTGCTCTTTTTGCCATGGGTTCGAATCCAATCGAGGCTGCCAAGTTTTTCATAACTGGATCAACTGGATTCTAGAAATAACATTGAATCCACGGCCTTCAGGTCCTACGTGACTACTTTCGTTTCCTTCCAAAATCTGGTACTTATTTGAAACCCCATGGGCCTTTCCTAAACCTCGGTCATGAATTTATTCTCCCTTGTCATCCTTGTTTGCATGTGATTCAAATCTTTTATATTGTTCCTTATTCTGTGTTCTGGAAATCACTAATCGTTTTGGCAGTTCGACTGCGTGACACGATTCTTAATACTGAAACTTACTATCCATCTTGAATCACTAACAATAAAAGCCAACATCCTCCAGGTGGATGCACTCCGCGGCCGTAAAGAGAGCAAATGACTACAAGTTTTGTGCGACTGACATACCACGTCACTATGACGAATATTGAAAAACGTGTGATGTCTATTCAAGGCTACTTCTGAAAGTAATGCTGTCTTATGACAACAAAATTAGACGGATAAGAATGCTAAATCGGGGTACAACACCACTGCGTTCAGTGTCCGCTGCTGATTAAAAACTATATTGGCATGAATCACTCTGGCTAAGTTCACGGTGGGCAAATGATGAAACACTACTGGGTTAGCCACAACAATGTAGGCGATTAAGTATTAACTGGATCATAACCCCAGTCATGTAATTTGGACATAGTTGTCTAGGAGCCAGGCGCCATGGCGTCGACGCTGTAATAATTGAGTATATTAATTGCTTTATGCCAGTCTAGGTGCTGACCCATGGGACAGTCGGAGCAGATTAGAGTTTAGACGAAAACAAGACGGATACACGCTGCGAATAGCACCTGAGACTGTGGCTCGCCAAAGCCAACAACTCACACAGAAGTTGAGAATGGCTGCTGTCGCTGAGCACGAAAATCGCAGTGCTTAACTCGCAACCGGAGTATTTGTTCAGTCCATAATACGCACCGTTACACATCAGTTATGCGCATGCTCATTTGAATCCCCTTTTGAAAGTGTCATTGGGAAGGACAACGATGGAGATCAGAATGATCATCTTTAAGTGATTTGCCAGTATTAGCTCCAAGGATGGGCCGGAAAACAAGAAATCAGGTATTCGAGTCAGGAGCTCAACCGCTTAGGCTGTTGACCCGTCCTGCAAATTGCCATCAGTGATGCGTCAGGTGGGGAATTAAGGGAATACGGCGATCTCATCTCATCTCATCTTGCTGCTTATGCTTTGTCAGTCCAAATTTAAGTCCACTAATGAAACGTAGTGCCTGCTCTGGAATGACGCAATAATATACTACTTGGATTACGGCCGAGGCCGGTGAAGAACTCAAGACGATTTTATTTGAACCTTGGGCAACGGTATAGAGAAGGACCCCATGTAACTGTCAGAAGACTGTGGATAGTGTCATAAGGGGTTTTATCTTGGCATACATTTGTAGGCAGTTGCAAAAATTACACTGCCAACAACGATTAATTCCCACGAACTCACATCGTTATTCTGTGAAATTTACTTGTATCTTCTTTCGTTTTGTCAGCTTACTACTCACCTATAGAACCCCCTTTACCATAAATCACGCATGGCACGATCCACAGTCTACTGAAAATTAAGTGGGGTCCTTCACTATGCTGTTGCCGAAATTTGCAATAGCCCATTTATGGCGTTTTCCAAGAAGTCCAAACCTGCACGCATGGATCGCATACAAGTTTGGAAGCTTTCGGCTATGAAGTAAGACTTCCCGGTGACGCGGTGTTTGGCATAACTCATGAAACAATAACTGAAATACCGAAATATGATTTCGGCAAAAGGATTTACCTGGGCGGGGTTGTAACATTGACAGTCATGCGGCATACTTTCAAGCTATTTCAGTGAGGCTAGGATGTCGGGTTTGAATGCCGCAACATTACACTCACAATGACTACTTGTGTTAAACGATTTCTTGTTGATTTTCGACGTCCTTATAAAGTGAGATACATCTTAGAGGTAACAGGCATAAAATATCAACCCTTAAACTCATGTGGTATAAATTTACGTCTTTTGGCTTTTCTACTCATGGAAAGGATAGCTTCTGATCAAAGTCTACAAATCAGGGATTTTGTATGACCGCCGAATGCCCGCTCAGGCAATAGCATATCTGTCCGTCTATTGATATTCCCTATGAAGTATCTGTAGTGTACATCAATTAGTAAAGTTTGAACCTATATGGTTCCGCGGAATGCGCTGTTCTTCTCAAACGAAAAATGCTCAGACCGCAGTTTGGAAACCCTAAACGCAAGCGCAAAGGCAGTTCGGGTGCAAGTGTTCGGGTACGGTCGCGCATGTTCACTCTGGTGTTTCGATTTATAAAAAGGTCGTGAATTAAAGAAGAAAAATCTCCACTGCTTAAGTAGTCGTTGTTAGCGAGTGTGATTTCTGAACGCAGCCAGAAAGGCACGCGATCAAAAGCCAACATCCTGGCGTGACTGGAACATCATGGACTAGGCTTTATGGCAATCAATATTCAAACCCCACTCAAGTACACCTTTATAGCAGATATCACATTTAAGAATTTTGGCTAATATTTCGTGAAAGACGCCGCCTGCTGTGGTACTTAAAACCCATCACGTGAGGCGACTCCATCGATGCGAACGCTTGAGAGATCGCGTTCAAGGGACATTCTGGCAAACCGTCATCTGCATATGCCGAAATTTTATGCTTCCCAACTGTTCTGTTAACAATTCGCAAGAAGTTGCGGCAATAACCCCCTTTAGACAGTGTCAAAATAGGAACTTCGTCTCATTTGTCACTCACTGGAATTACGCAGATTCACAATGCATATCTTCTGCTCCACCAGGACGGCAAAAAACGACTGAAACATTGCACCCTTAGAATTACCTAGTTGCTGCCGCACCGATAGAAATTTAAGAGTGGACCTCGCAGTCCTCGGGTGATGGTGGTGGTGGTGCATAGTGGCAGCTTCAAATGCGCAAAAGGAGGAAGCGTCTTCAAAAAGTGGCGCTATTCCCCCCCTCCCCTCTCCTCCTGCACATGATGCAGTGTGCTCTCCGGTCCGGCAGCACCCACGTATTTTATGATTCAAAATGGAGTTTCCCTAGTAATCCGACCCTGAGAACCGGCTTCTGTATAGATCCTCGCTCATGACACCAGATGTACACAAACGATGTAGGCGGAATTCCGCAATCGAGAGAATCCATCAAAGAAATAAAAATCTAAGAAGAAATCACTGTAAGTATCACAGCCCATTCTGCAGAAAACATCAAAAAAACATGTACATGCTCGAGGAGATAGGTCGGTCGTCTGTATGGGAGAGTTTGCAGAGAGACGTCATTGTGGGTAACCGAAAGGGATGATCACAGGCTGATCTCACTCATGCCTTGTTTTTCTCTTGGGTGGCCAAAAGTTCGGTTAACTGAAAGGGGAAAACATCAGGTCACGTACGTACGGTGACTGCAAAGAAGCAAAAACGTGCGGGCGATACGCGAGGCCTATATACGCCAGGGATGCCCAGTAGTCCCTGAGAGGGAGCAGAATGTTCACTGAAAAATCGCTACCATTCTCCTTCCTATGCTGACGACAATAAAAATGTACGCTCTTGCAGAGGGGGAAGGGAAAATGCCTAAAATGGGAATATTTACTCTTCTAAAAGAGATGTCAAAAACTCCCATTATCGGCTAGCTAAATTGGGCATATTAGATAAAAAAAGAAATAGTGCCATGTAAGCAACAGTCGTTTTTGTTTTATTAGAGAGAAGGGACGGTCCAACTAGAAGCAAATTTTCAAAACTGCCTGTCATGGTTCTCGTGTTGCTCCCCTGGCAACGCCAGTGACCCATAGCGGGGCTTGATGCAGTGATCCGATAATGGTTAATGAGAGCTTGTTGCCACATTATTTGTTAAACCAGAGTTGACGGCAGAAACGTAAGACAGTTGACACTGTGCGCAGAAAATGGGTCATTAGTGGGGAATATCAAGGAGAATTCGTAAATAGCGGTTCATCAAGGAACTCCGACGCACTTCTTCCTAGCATCACCCACGCACTGACGTTTTGTTTCAACCGTTCAAGAACAAGCTGACAGTAGATTAAGTTAGAAATGGACGCGGAATGGAATGGATCCGAACAGCGAAGTCGGGAAGACGCCGTTGCGTACAAAGGAGCCGGCGACGAATTCCACTGTCACTCAGCTAAAAAAATGAAACAGTGCCACGGCTACTGCACCGGCCAAATGTCCAACAGACCAAGCGTCTGTTCGTTCTGATGACAGGCTTCAAGGCAACCCGGCAGTTCGACCGCCGCTTCCCAAGATGTTCACCGCGTGCTCCACAACAGGGTGATAACTGAGACAGTGACATGCGCCGACCCGGTGTCAAGACATAATGAAGAAAACCGGGGGCGGGAGGGAGCGCAGGTAGCTGGCACGGCGAAAACCCGCAATTAGACGTACCCCCACACCCCTTGGTCCACAGTGAGAGAAGGGGAGGGGGGCGGCTCGGATCCACTAGGTGGGAGTGCCAAAGGCCACGTTAAGGAGTCATTGCAGACTGACTCTCAGTCCACCAGCCCGCCACTTCAACCAAACACACTGCGAGGACGGAGTTATCCCGTAAATTGGCGTCTGACTGTCTGCGCTGGGATCGCAGACCCCGCTCTCTTTCACCACTCCCGGGCACCAGTCCAATGTCCGGGCCGGTGCGATGTCTGACGCCGGAGGTGGACGCATTGAGAGCCCGTCCTCCGGCGCCACATGCACGACCTGAGCATCCCCCCCCTCCCCCCAAACGCACACCCCAGGAATACACAAGGCGAAAGCAGCTCGGAGTCGTCGTAGTCTGACTCTCAGTCCACCAGTCAACCACTTCACTGACTGCGAGGTCTGTGTTGAAGTGTCAGTTGGCGACCTTCCAGGCCACGGCTTTTGCAATACCGTGTTAGCCTCAAGCATGTCAGATTGTTTATTAGTGAGGAATAATTTTCGTAAAACTGCAAAATATGAGCTGAGCTGCAGTGTAAGCCTTTTCAATGCGGCATCGCGACCGTCGCTCGAATCTGTCTGTCGCTCTTGAAGGCCAAGTGTTCTTTAATGGCTAAACTGGACAGACGGTAAGTGCACGCATATATAGCAGTCCGGCTTGCTAGGCTCCACCGAATACGTGCAACCATTGAACTTCAGTAGTACATTTCAACTCTATAAATGCATACCGACATGTTTAACTATACGAATGCCAAAAACTGTCGGTGGCTTTTACTAGTGAACTACGCCTAAACTGGTTGATCGACAGGCAAATGGTTCCCTTCCAGTTTGACATGTACAAATAGGTTTTATTAGATATCGAAACTAACTTGTAGTTTGTAAGCCTCCTTCGCCTCCGCCAGGTCCATTTTCAACTCATTACTCTCTTCCAATTTCTCGCCATAGAGCTCGAGGAGCAGCTCATAGCGTCGTTGAAGTTCCAGCAGTAAGGCACTGTCCGATTCGGTACCAATTGGTGCAGCCTCGCCGATACGATTAGGTCGCATATCAACGAGATGTGGTCCAGTTGTACTCGGCGAAGCAGTCAGCCCGCTGACTCCCGCCAGTTGAGCAAACCGGTCGGCTCGGGAGGTCTGCTCCGAGAGCTCTGAGAGGAGCTTTTCCCGGGCCCCCTTGAGGTGTGCAACTTCTCGACGGAGCTGGGCGAGTTCACCATCACGTTGGCGAAGAGTTGACTAGAAACAGGAAAAAGAGGCAAATTGGACACAGAAACTTCTGACAGAAGGGCTAGGAGGTAAATGTCACAGAAGAGGTGGGTATTTCCAACGGCAGTGCATTGGGATAGATAGATAACAAAGCATATACTATCGATAATTTTGGACAATTTAAGATATATATATACAGTACGTGGCCTATCTCATGAAACCTGGTTACAGAACCTCATGTGAGAAGTTGGGACGTTTTAAACGTTGCGCACTTTGGTTTCCCGCTCAGCTACCTTTAGGAAATGTCCTCATCTTGTGCAGAAATTGTGTCTACGTAAAGTTTTCAAGCGAAATGTTCATAAATTTGGTCGAAATGGGCGTTGCAATATACTCGGGCACCTTCTTACGCTAATAACTGTTATGGACTTAGGTTGCCCATCTGAGCGGGTTTTTCCTTGGAAGGAGAGCAATTTCCTCCAGGGAGTTCTAAGAAACAGAGGTTGCCGGACTTTAAAATTGATTCTTTGTCCGATGGTAAAATTGGTAATCAACTTCCAAAAACAAAGGTTATTTTAAGAGAACCAGATGTTATGTCGATTTGTAGAATTCAGATCAGCAGATCTGCGCGATTTTGTACCCTAATGTGCAGTAAAAGCGCACGCATGCATTTCTCCCATTGATTCGCGATGCCCTTAACAATTCAATTATACTTAATGGAAAACATGCAAAATGTTCATTGTTTTGCTCATTAGCTAGAAAATTACGTCTTCTTTCAATTATATACTCGGAGGAGGGACATAATTCGGTTTGAAAAAAGTTCTGATTGTGAGATTTTTAATACCGTGAAATGCGTGTAAATAAAACTTCATGTCACTGCATTAGCCAATGCGGCTTGTAAAACTGACAATATGGTTCAAATCCACTGTCAAATTTTATGAAACCCCATTTGGTCTCCTCTTAATACCGTAGGGAAATGTATATATACGGCTGGCAGTTTGGAAATTCTGAATCCAAGTGTAACGGTAGAGCGGGTTCTAAATTATTCAGGAATTGGAAACGTTTTTGAAAACCGAATCATACCCTTCCTTCGAGTATGATATTGGACGAGGACGTAATTATCTGCCGAATAAGCAAAACAATGAATGTTTTTATGCATGTTTTCCATTAAATACAATTGGACTTTTCGGAGCATCGAAAATCAATGAGAAAAAAATATGCTACTTAAGTAGTCATTTTTACGGGGTGTAGTTTTTGCATGCAGCCGCAAGGAAGTTCGTTCGAAAGCCGGCATCTCGAGGTAACTGAATTATTATAGAATTATACTGCAGGCTGACTAGTTTTACAATCCTACTTAATTAATCTTTTCGAAGCAAAAATGCATTTCGGAATTTCGGTTGATATTTAATGAGTTAGCCCACCTACTGTATGTGTATACAGGTATTGAATAACTGACGTAGTGAACATTTCGAGATGATAGAGTGAAAAAAGAGAAGGGTCTTCGGAAAATTGAGTTGCACTCGTGAATTTTCAAGTTCTTAACACCAACCCGTCGTCAGGCGAAATGAAGTTAAAGGAGGACTGTTACACTAGACCGGTTGAGGAGACAGGACAGACATTGACAGGCAGACCATTAGCATGTGAGAGGGGTGCAGTGGTCACGGTAGATTCCTGAGAGGGGCGAAGAGAGAACGGTTACGGCTCCCTGTGTTGGAGGGGGAAAGATGGTAGGTTAGTAGGGCTACGGACGACTGGATTAGCGGGCTCTGATGCGGCACAGAGGCAGGGCTCTGTGAGCAGTCAACGCAGGCCATCACATTGGGCGTCTAGACCGACATGGTAGTTGACGCCGGTCGAATGCCAAGCTTCGAGGAACAGTCTCAGTTTCTTCTGGCAACGGGTTGGTGCCACCAACTTGAGAATTCACGAGTACAACTCGATTTCGCGAAGAGCCTTCTCTTTTTTTTCCATTTACGGGTGTGTTGGGTGGTAGGTGGCTTTCACTACGGGTCGTTTTATATATCAGTCCTCGAGAGTCGTACAGTAAAAAAATATAGGGAATTTGACTGCTTTGGGGAAGAATTATTGAAGGCACACGCGTGCCGGTCTGTGTTCCTAAAAGATCTAACGATGAACCGAGTGAGTGGAAACTCGGAGCGCTTACGTGCCTGCAGGTATTCAAGGCTACTGGCAAACTGCACGGAGTGTTGGATGGTCGAATTGGAAGTTTCGGTCGAAGCTGGGGATCGTTGAGAAGAGCGTTCATCCGCAGAGACAACCGATAGCTGGAATAGAGATAAGGTGACAAAGGATAACGCTACTGTCGGTCAATTTCGAAAAACCCCCATGTTGAATCACTTAGCCGCCAGAAAAACAATGAAAAAAATGAGATTTGGGGTGCCAAAACGCAGTTTTGGGATCTCAGATACAAACGCACACAGCTGGCAAATAATACGTGTTTGTTCAGACTTGTGCAAGACTTTTCGTCCGTCCGTCTAAACAACACTTTCGCTGAGAGTGACCTTCGTCTGAAAAGGCCAAATGAAGCAAACACTCCTCATCCCGACCTTGTGTGAGTGACGATGGCTTGGTCAGCGGAAATTGTGTTAACAGCAAACTAGTCCTATTGGTAGTGTGCACTCTCCTCCACGAAAGTAAGCAGATAAACCGTTTCGCACCCTAGCCAGTGCAAACTGACAGCATTACGTTTTTCGCCACTGAAGCTTGTCACCAAAGGCAGCAAGGAACCTGTCATAAACACTGGATGGGTTCCATGCTGGAAGTAGTACGGCGATAAAAGACCAGCAAGACACAAGCAAGCACTCCATGGTGTATCCAAGACCCCGCAAGGAAAATGGGCTGAGCTCTCCATAAATTTGTGAGATCATTCAAGGACATGTGTATGCTTTCATTAAATTCGCATCAGGGCGCCAACAAGCTGGTAGATAGTTAGGAAAATGCAGATATGACGTCAACTAGGCTATGAAGACCGATTTAGAACTTCGTTGCGAGGCAATTTTGGAAGAAATCTTCCGCCAGTCGAGTTGTCCGTCTTTCTTATGGCTTCTCGAAACCACGGGTGCTACGGGAACCCGGACAGTTTCACCCCTCCACTCTGTTTGAACTAATAAGAACTCGAATAACCGCAACCTGAAAGCACACGGGGGAATGCTGGGGGACTCAGTGGTGAGCCGAGCACCTCGCAACTGTGCCATGTAGCGGCAGAATATCGACGAAACACGCGTGTCTGGGTTTTTAGACAGTACCTGTGCTGCTAATACGGTATCTTATAACGTTAAAATTACACCAGTTCGCTTAACTAGCTGCGAAGCTGTGACAGTTCGACCGTCAATTCCGACGATGTCCACCATGTGCTTCACGGCAGGGTGGAGCAGGCACGGTGACTTATGCGTGAATTAGTTTGTAGTGAATGTTGGGTTGCAGAGTATCTACTGCACTCTCTCCTCCCCCACGTGGACCCGGTGTCAATAAGACTGGAGGTGGGGGGGATGGCACGGTCGAGCCCACACCTTGGCGCTCCACTCCACATCCTCTGGTCCACACAACAAATGACCAGGTTTTGACTAACAAACAAAAACAGCGGGGGGGGCGGTAGGGGTCCCAGTGTGCGCGACGTCTGCCGGCAACCGGGTCTGCCATTGCACCCCGAAATGTTGGTATTTATTATGGTGTGCAATTCCGATAACGCCTGCCAGAATCGGATATTGGCCCGGTACTGGTCCAGCGCATCTACCACGTTGCCCAATTTGGGGGTGAAAGTAGTGAGCACGTAATGTGCACAGTATGTATATGATGCAATCACATGCGTATCAAGATTAGCTAGTGTCCTCATTCCCCGCGGATGGTTGTACGCGCTGCGATGATGACTTGATTACCCATATCTGGGTAGATAATCGTGGCGACTCCATCGCCGGTGTTGGTAATTGAGATGGTGATTATCGGCGCTTTGGCTCACCGGTGCTGTTCACCCGCGTGCTCCTCGGAAAAATCTGAGAACTGACTCGGTCATTGCCCTTCTAGACGGTCTGCTCGTCTGAAAACCGCAAACCACACACACGCGCCTGTCAGGTTTCGTGAGAATGTTGAACTCATTGAAGCCGAAGGCGCTACCCAGCCCCCTAGAGCGAGCCGCGACTTCAGAGTTGGTGACACTCTTCCTCACTGCCCCTGCGTGTGGTAACAAAAAATAACAGTCCAAGTGTTGGACACCTCCCCGAGCACCAATCCTTGAAGCAGCCCAGCAAACCCTTATGACGGCCTGGTGGTGACACAACCAGCGTCGATTACGACGGGCAAACAACCAGCAACAGTAGTAACATAGGTACAAATGATGAGTAATTCGATCCGCGCAAATCTTGCAGTCTTTATACGAAAGCAGTGTAATGCCCTGGTGCACACACACGGACTTGATACAGAGCTCATTTTTGCAAAATATAGATGACATGTCCTAAGCATCCGTCGGGGGGGGGATTGCAACTCATTGCAGAAGGTAAGCTACTGAGGACAACTAATAGAAAATGAGGCCTAGCTTCGGCACTGCTTATACAACTGTATAGTATTTCCATCGGCAGTATGACTAGAAAGATTCACATGCAGTCAGGTCTATACAACACACCTATGATATGTATGTTGATATATGGCCGAAAGTGACAGGAATTGACGTATGGTTTAAATGGCAGTGTAGTAGAAATTTCTTACTGTTGATGTACTCGATGATAGAGAGGAACCCTGTGCGTGGCCCTCTGCAACCGAGTGCGTGCGAGAGGAAATCTCGTCCAGTTCGGCCCTCGTCTCTTTCAACTCCGCTCGCAGCTGTGCTGAAA